GAGTTTTAGGCACTGATGATGAAACAAGATTACCATCAAACTTTGAGAGATTCACAGCTCGTTGATGCATACTTCTTTTTATAATCTGAGCCAAGTTTTTTCTTGTTTTAAGATCTTTATCTGCGTTGTTCAATATAATAGTTTCTCGAAAGGCAATGTAATTAGAGTCTCTGGTACGCTTATCAGTAGTGTATTAAGCGCTGAACGTTGCCAAAATTGAAGTTTGGGTGATATTCTGGTACTTGGTCTAGTTTTCATAGTTCCTTGTGCATTCAAAAACCCTTACATGAATTTTCGTTTAAATGCTCACTTGATTTTGATTATTGTTCGTTGTTTGGTTTGGATTTGGTCATCAAGGCAACAATTTAGAGTCTCTGATTCACTTATCAATAGTGGATAAAGCGCTGTACGTTGCCGATAATTATTGGTACAAAGGTCTCTCAATTGGCTTCAATTGTATTTTAGCCAATACGATCGACGTGCCTAAATTTGTTCACATATATTATTTGACATTCGAACAGTAAACCATTATTGATCAAATCAATGTTATGTACAAAAAATAATCACTTGCGGCAATTCAAGTAAAGAAACCGTTGGTAAAATAAATTAACATATCTTTAGGCTGACTAAAGAAATTTTATTGTAAGGACAGTTACCTGAACGGCTGAACGTAGGCGGAATTAGCTATTGAACCGAATGGTTAAACAGAATTGGTGGGCGCTTAACTAGTTGGCGAATTGGCAATTTATTATATATCTGTTAATCTGTACCAACTAAACCAAGGTTGATGAGAGCAATAATCATCCAAATAATTAATTTTTTTGTTAACATATTAAAGTTTATATTTTACTATCTGAAATGTATAGCCTACTTTTCTGAAAACATAACAATTTTGTACTGACGAAAAACATCACTGAACGTTTTTTATTATGTTCATATTTAGAAGTTAAGAGAAAGAGGATCGTAACCTCAAAAACCCAAACCTTGAGAATTATAATGCGATAAACCCTCATTATAAAAAAGAATTTCGTTTTGAATTTTTTTCAAAAACCGGTCAAAAAGTAAAATCCCCTTAATGAGTCTCCACAATTACAAACCCAACCATACATCCAAACCCGAATCCCAAGTCAAACCAGAGCCTGTTTAAAACTTCCCAAATTCTTTTAGAAAAAAAAAAACTGAAATCCTAAACATTTTTCTATCGGTTTGTAATGGAAATCCTAAACGTTAATGTGATATTTTGGGATTTTAATGTCTGCTGTTTGTGTTGGAATTTTAATGTATGTTGCTTGTGTTGTGTTGATAGTTCAATAATTCGATCTGTGTTTTGTAAACCAGAGCGATCGGTTTGTCCAGGTTTCCATTTCAAGTTTTGTGGTTTGTAATGTTATTTTGAACGGTTTGTATTCTAAACATTTTATTCTAATAAGATGACAAAAAAAAAAAAAACATTTTTCTATCGTTTTTCTCCTTTTTTTATTCTTTGACGGAGGTGATTTCTCAGTCTCATAATTATGTCGCCCTAGTCTCTGTTTTGTGGAAGAAGATTGGAGCAAACTTCCATCTAATGCGCTTTCTGTGAACTCTAATAAAGGTTACTTTATGAGGACCAGCATTTGCCAATCCTTGGAGAAGGGGTCACCATCGGACCTCAGAGGTTTGAGTTCTTGGCTTTTTCAGCGAGTCAACTGAGAGGAAATTCTGTCTGGATGTTTGCTTCCAACGAGAAACTAAAGGCGGAAAATAGAAGAGAACGGATAGGCTGTTTCCGTAAGATTTGAAGTACTGCATTGTTACATCTCTCTCTTCCAATTTTTTGGTAAGACCCAATGATACCGAAAATGATTTGAGCCTAAAGTGAGCTTGGTTGTTCAGATGACATCATTTTAGTCTCTGCTTTGCTCTCTATTCAAGTTAAAGACCCAAACAGTTATTTCAAGTTAGATTACTACCAAACACTGTTTGGTCTCCAGAACCAGAAAATGTAAGTTTTAAGTCGTATATGGTTTTGTTCGTACGACTTGGATCAAAGGCAGCGTCATAATCATCCCATGCAGAGATAACAACATAAAAAGTTCACCCTATGCAGATATACAAATCTCCACACTCTTTTCTTCATTTTGCCCAACATTTTAGAAGCTTTCTTCGAACGACCCTCAATGCAACTCGGATCATGAATTAGTTGGTCACATATCCCTGAATCATCAGGCAAATAGCTGTATGCCGTTCTTTTGTACCTCTCAAAAGAGCTCTTAGAAAGGCTCCCCTACAAATATGTAGGCAACAAACTTAAATAAGCTCAATTATAAGAATGAACGAAAATTGAAACTCACAAGACAATACAACTTNCCAAGTNTTCACGAACTCTACCCATGANGGAGTATATTCGTNNCAACAAACTCTCAGGTTTGTGAATTGGAGAGATCACTGACACAAAAAATCCTCTCAAATCTGAACCGAGANGAACATCACAAGTAACGTCATAACCGAGTTGTTCCTTTAGCCTATCAAAGAACAAACAAAATTCAAAAGTTATAATCAAGGAACA